CACGCACGCACGCACGCACGCACGCACGCACGCACGCACACACGCGCGTGCGTCACATTATATATTACATTTATGATTGGAAAATTACAAGTAACTGGCGACTTACCGGTAATATTTATGCAATAATATCAGTAATATTTAATATATGATAAGTCATGTTGCATTTTTGCCGCGTTTGTTCTGTTATATGCTTGATTTCTCTGTCTCGGATATAGCAGCCTCTGCTCGATATTTGCTGTCGTATTATGATAGCAAGCAATGCTTAATTTTTGTTGCATTTTTGCTTTCACATTGTGCCAGTAGCTTATGCTGGTAGAAAGTAAACAAATTATGGACACAATGAATAGAAATCTACTGCAAAGATATGTAGGATTTGCTTTCATATTATCGACATGTTTTTGTTGATGTTTTTTGTGCGTGCGGTATCTGAGAATTTATCTTATTTATTGGTAACTTTTTTATTTCTTATTTTTAATTATATGATTAAAGATTCATATATACATATATTGAAATAAATATATCAATTTCAATTTATAGTAAAAAATATGCATTTCTTGTTTTGACTTCCAAAAAATTTCATTTTTTTGTGAATAAATTCTGTTTCTTTCTCTCTCTCTCTCTCTTTCTTTCTCTCTCTTATTGAACTTGATTTATATTTTTTTCAGATCGCTCATCCGCCAATTACAGGCTGAATTCAGATATTGTTTCAACTGTGTTATTAATTGTTAAGTTATTAATAATTTTTAAATAGGTTCTAAATAATAATTTTAATAATTTCGCACGCTGGCAAGAAAGAGACACAAAAGTGAAGAGGGAAAGGAAGTGAAAAGAAGAAGCGATGACGCGTTATACAAAGGAAAGTTATAGGATAATTTGGCAATTAAGGAAAACGAGAATTTTAGGCCAACCGGCCTGAGATATGACAGCAATAGCAATAACATCTAAACGATCTTTAAGGACATCTTCGTTGCTGTTGGTTGAAACAGCAGAACAGTGTCGATCATCGTCATTGTCTAGGAGTTGCCGGGTCTATGCGACCCGACGCGATCTCTTTATACCAGCGATTGTCGACCCACGTCCAAGCAGGACAGTGCACTGTCCGGATTTAAACGCTTGTTTGGTAAACGAATCGCGTTCAAAACACGATCGAGTGGACTGTCAAACAATTCATTTTGGTTACGCGATTCCAATTAATATCGTGCCAGTTCATGACAGTTCTGAATTAGTCGAATTGGTATTAGATCAGTCCGCCGAGTTTAGCGTCCAAGCAATAAATTTTCTACTTGATCATCATCCGCAATTGCGTAAACGACAGCGTTTCTATGAGATGGCTGCTACAGCTAAGCATGATCTTCGTCAAAAATTCCCTGCGGATACAACCCCTTCTGGTGAGGAAGATATCGCCGTTATTGCCAAGCAGATTAGCGATCATGCGGAAGCAATTTATCAAACATGGAAAAGTCGCGGGTTAGCACCTACAGAAATCTTAACTTGTCACAGTAACGATACCGCTGTTGACAAATTTGGCAGTGCATTAACACCTTGCAATTTAACCACTATTGGAAATAATGTTGGCGGCAAGGCATTGCCGTCGCCATCGCTTGAACGTTCTTCCTCGACAGCAGAAGATATATTAACTCAAACGCCGAATCTGGACAATGGCAACCTTGAAAAACTAGTCAACAATTTTGTAGTAGAGGATAAAGCTAGGATAGCCGCTTCTAAACAGAAATCGCCATCGAAGCCATTGCCGTCTTCCATACAATCCGCTCTGCAGAAGTTTGAAAAAAATTCTGTGCAACAGCAGCAGATAGCAGCTTCCACGAAGAACAATATAACTCCGATCAATAACTCGAAGAAATTGACGAGCGTTTTATTGTCTTCACCGTTTTCGAACAAATCGTCGCAAATAGTACAGCCTCAGATCTTTACGAAGACGCTTGGTTCTCATCACTGCGAAGTTTTTCTAGAGACGATTGAAACTACTTTCCCAGTAGATCTGACTTCCAAGAGAGCAACACAGCAGAAGAGACCCACTAGTATATTAATCGCGTCATCGTCCACTAGTTCCTCATTAAATATCGACTCAATGCATTCAACAAGTTCGGGTTTAACAACGTGGCCGCTAAAAAACAAGTTAAATGATACTAGAAGAATCATAGATGTATCTCACGTATCAGCTAAGATATCTCAACAAGGAGATATTGCGAGAATATTGCCAGTGAAAGACGAGAAAAAATCGGTCTCGATAAAAACAAACTCGCGGTGCGCGTACATCGATGAAGTCGCGCGGGAAGAAGAAAGATTGATAAATGCTTTAAAAACAGGCGCTGTCATTACCGAAGAATCAGAAAAGATAATGATATCAGAAAAGATAATGATATCTGATAAAAAACCGGCTATTAAAAGGGAAAAACCGAAGATTGAACTTGTCAAGCCTATTATTATCGGAAGCCATATTCATCATGCAGCTAATTCGGCAGTATCTAGCTCGGCAACATCTAACTCGGCAGCATCTGGTTCAATAGCTACTGCAGTTAATATCAGCAATGCTACCGCTGTTGCTGCCGTATCCACTGGTCATAATCCGCTAATCAATGAGTCAAAATCGCTCAATAAAGATGATCTGTCCGTTATGTCGGTGGTGGACTATGCTAAGATTAGATATAAAGCAGCTCAAGAGAATCCGCCTACCCAACAGCGGCTCGAAAAACAGCGAGCTTCCAGCCAGTCGTATCATTCCACCACGGAACAATTGGTCTCTAGCGCGAGAACAAAATTCGAGATGGAGATACGAAAAGATAAAGATATTAAAGATACTGATAAGGATTTAGTAGCATCCAAATGGGGGCCGAGAATTTCTTCTCCACGACCGCGTTTAGAACAGACTGTACCTCACCCGGAATTGACTAATCAGCAAAAGCAACATATAAGAGCAGCCGCGGCAATTGGAACAGGCAACAATCCAGTCAGACCATTCCTTACTAGAGGTTCTGTAGCAGAGCGTGTACTTATCTTCGAGAAATGCCCGAGTGAACTACTGTTGGACAAGCGTGGTCCACGACAGCCAGCCATTAATACGTGGAGAAGTGGTCATGAAGTGCAGAATAAAGCTCAGGTATTTTTTCTACTTCTCATTTTTATCAAGCAACTTATCGACATGTTTTATTCTTCTTTTTATTTTTTACATTACATGATATTTACATATTTTATAGAATGTGGCATTAATAGAAGAATGCTTTATCTCAGTTTTGTTATTCGTAGATAGATAAACAACCTTGGTATTGATATAAACGTGTGTGTATGTATGTGTGTATATGTGTATATGTGTGTGTGTGTGTATGATATAAAATATATACAGGGTAAGTCATTTTAATCAATACACGCAAATATCTCGTAAAGTAAGCAAGATGGAAAAAAATGTTTTATACAAAAGTTGTAGGGTTCAGAGGGGGACACATGAGGAAAATATGGACTTGACCTTGAATGACCTTTTCAAGGCCAAGTCAATGTGATCGATGTTTTCTTAAATGGGACCCAAAAAAAAATGAATATTAATTTAGAACGCACGCGGATGTGAAGTCGAAAATAACGTTTTTGATTCTCTCTTTCTCCAGCTTCAAATTTTTTACATCTATATTAAAAACTTCCCATTTCGACATATGTGAGAAGTATTATTGAATTCTTTCATTGCCCGAGATAGTCGTTAATATCAAACTGACATTTTATATACAGGGTGAGTCATTTTAATCGACGCACGCAAATATCTCGTAAAGTAAGCAAGATGGAAAAAAATGTTTTATACAAAAGTTGTAGGGTTCAGAGGGGGACACATGAGGAAAATATGGACTTGACCTTGAATGACCTTTTCAAGGCCAAGTCAATGTGATCGATGTTTTCTTAAATGGGACCCCCCATTTTTTATTATTCTTGTAGCTTATCTTGAGAGCTTTTCAAAACACTAGAGAGGGAGGGAGCGAGGGAGGGGGATAGAGAGGGGGAGAGGGGAGAGAGG